TTTTTTTTTTTATCTTATGGCACAATTTTTTTTTTTCAAGATTTTTTCCAAATATTGAAAGAAAAGAAAAAGTAAAATTGAAACAATCCTTCGTTCAAGTGAAGTATTGATCCAATCTACATTGGACTTGCTTCCCAGCCTTCTCTTTCCGAACCTTTTCTCGAATACAGGATTGTAGTTTGTGTAAGGATTTTATTGTTACACCACCATCATTGATTCTTTCATCCACGATCCTCAAGGCACCATGCAAAATATTCAATTGCTCTTCTCCAGTTAAGGTTGGCATTATGAATTCCTCTTCTACCTGTTTGACTTCCATCGCAGCTTGGATCAAATCTTCATCAGTAAACTGGTGGTGTGCTTCTTGTTCTTCTTCAAGGTTTAGTAAATCTTCAATTGACAGTGGATTCCGAACAGGTAATACGTCTATTTGCTGCTGAAGTTCTTTGACTGTTAATTCATCATTTGGATCAGGAGATGGGTTTTCTTTCACATCATCAATGCTTTCAACAATAGCATGGGGGGCAACAGGTACTCCATTTTCATCATGAGAAGATACAACTTTCGTGCGGAACCAACATCTCCTAATCGTTTCAGGAGATACTTCATTCCAGGCAATCTTTGTCTATTTCATAGCCTGCAATTAGTGATACGAGTTAGTAAAAATTTATTTGTACTTTTTTTTTTTTTTTAACAATTTTAATCTTAAATTAAAAAAAAAAAAAAAAAAAAACCAAAATAAATCTACTGATTTCTGGCTTGACCAAATAATTGCTTTCTATCATATTACTACCTGCAATTGGTTGACTTTATAATGTCTTTCTCCCCGTCTTCGTCATGATCAATTGCATGTTGAAGTTGTAAATGACAATAATGAAATTTGAATGATGCAATTATACTGGCATCCATGGGTTAGATTTTTGATATTGCATGTGGAGGTAACATAAGTACTTTTACATTAGTCAAGTTGAGGAAACCAGTAACATGTGAGGGGGATAAGTAAAATGTGACGGTTTGATTCTCTTATTTCTTCATCCAATTTTTTTATCCATTCTAAAAAAAACATGGCGGTCATCTATGCTTTTTTATTATTACGGTAATAGAATCCAAGTTCTTCACCTGTTTTTTTTTTGAAACATCTAGGTCTTTTGGAATGTCCAATAATGAAAGGTTGAAGTTTATGGATACCGTCTGTATTAGCCGTAAATGCAATTGTAATTTTTGAACAATCTTTTTTTGATCCTTCAAATAGTGTTATGAATCAAAAAAAAAATGTAATTGATTAGTTAGTTTTTTTTTAAAAAAAAAAACTAATTAAGAATCGATTATTATTAACTAACCGATGAATCATTCAATCGATTCATCGATAAGTTAACTAATTGATCTTTTAGTTAATTGTTAGAGTCTGTCATCATACGATGGGTTATATGGTATGGAATAACGTGTTATACGAATTGGTTAAAAAATCAAATTTAATTTAACAACACTTAATTAATTAGTTAATTAATTAACTGGTTAGTTGGTTAATCGATTAATAGTTGGCTCATATTTTTTAATCGATAAACCAACTAATTGATTTTGATTCATATCACTACCTTCAATCTGGCGAGATGCAATTGTACGGTCAGGAGCCATAGCAAAGAACAAGCCTGTCTCGTCTATATTGTAAATATCACAAAGAGAATACTGGTTAGTAGTATTAATAATATTAGGAAGATTTATGTTTATGGCAGCAATGTCAGCAGAATCACTCTCACCATGCAACTTGAAGTAGCGAAAATTATGCTTTTCTTGAAAAGCCTGCAACCACCCATTTGAAAATTCAGGCTGATTATTTTCAGGGATTTTCATCAGGTTTGCTAATCTTTTTCTCTTAGCCTTAATCATATCTCCATTTAAATATACGG